TCAGTGTGTTTGTCTTAAAATGATTACCACCGTGTGTCAGTGTCATTCAGGCTGCTGACTAATTCTGTTCAATTTATTTGGTGATTTTAATAATTATATGTACTTGTTTGTCTGTTTCCCACTTAAATGTGTAGACATAATTTCACTGTGGCATAAAGAATCATTACAATACTCTGTCTGTGCACTACCACAAAAAGAAACCAAAGCAGCCAATCTAAAATCGCATACAGTATGAGTTTATCTGCTGTGTAAATTACAGGATGCAGAATCTGTATTGGTTAATTACAGCTTTAAATGATGGTAAAGCAGTGAAGAAAGAAACATAATGTGTCTTGTGTACAATACATAATTTAAAACATGCGGGTTTTCATTCTCGCATACATTTTGTGGCACAAACATTTTTGTAGGTAAATATACACTTTAGTTAATATATTCCGACAGTTTAATCCATACAGTATACCTGCTAATTTCACATTAAAAGAGATCTTGCTATGTGAATTATGCCAGGGTGGGACATTGTAACCCCAATTAAAATACTATATGAGATATTAGAATTCAGGCCAATAAGCCCAGTTAGCCCCAGTACTAAGAAACGGTAGACAAATGATGTCTGTTATTCATGCGCCCACCTCTTAACCACTAAAACAACTGTAGCAAATTCGGGTTGTTAGAATTTCGGCCCTTGCTGCTCCTGCCCCAGTTCGTCCCCTGCCTCAGGACCGAACCCGGGTCTCCGGCACAGCTCAACAAGGAGATTGTTGGCTGAGCTAAAGAAGGCCTTCATCAGCCCGGGCAGCTAGCATCCCTGTTATGCACAGAGGAGTAGAGGGTGGTGCCGTCACCGCAATGCAATGGCTCGCACAACCTGTATGTCGGCCGTTCGTTACATAACTTTAAAATGGATTACTTGAAAACCGATGGTTTAAAGACCTCAAACATGTTCACAAAAGCAGTAGGTCCTTATTCAGTCTTGGGCAGATATGAGAATTACCTGTAAGGGTTTTCATATTAACCCAGCAAATCAGCACAACAGGCTTTAGTAATATGTATAAAAGAATTTGGTAAAAAAAGAGCTACAATCTCAATGAGCAAATGTGCATTTTTTTAGAAACAATCTAAAGTCAACCAAATATATTTTCTCTCGAAGCCCTATATTTCTAAAGAAATATATTGAAAAAAAATCAATCCTGATCTAAGAAATGTAAAGTTTCAAAATAAGGGCAGGTATCAATTGTGTAAATTAACATGGATATGTCAGTTCACGGAAGGTATATTTTCCACAGAGTACTATTTTGTATGATGCAGGCAATGAACTCTCTTTCTTCTTTTATTTCCCATCTCTTATAATTTATTTCAGCTAAGAGGTCCCTGCTGGTCTACAAAACAATGAACTTAATACATCGGAGGCCAACATTAGCTTGAAACTTCACACAAGAAGTCACACAAATGTATTTTCTAAATAGCTTACTAACCATTTGTTGAAACTTTGCTTCTCTGGGGCTGTCACATGTATCGTCTCTTTTTAATTAATTCTGTAGCACAAGCTGTAAGCCCATACCTATTGCTTTGTCAACAGAGACCTACAGGCGTCCTACTGCCAGTATTCTTCCCAACACAAGCACTTGACTGGGACAAACCAGAACACTAATACTGTGCACCTGTGAACTGAGGCACCAACACTACATGGATTTACTGCTGCTGAAGCCCTTAAGCACTTCACTCTTATTATCACCAAGATCTTGTCAAGGGAGTCCTCTCTCTTTATGGTGCCAACAGCAACAGCAACTGCTGAAAACAGCAATATTTGTCACTGTTGCACTCAAACTATAGTAATAATCATTCTTTAATGTAGATGGTTAAAGCGAACAGGAGATGCTTCTTGGTTTTCAAATCCACCTCAAAGTAAAATTCAACTTATTTTGTACTTGTGTACTTAATTGATGTGAACAATGGCATTTGAGAATAATGTTGATTATTCACCTGAAAGAAGGCTCCATAGCCGAAACGTTGTGTTTTTTTCCTTTTTTTTTTCAGCATTGAATAAACCTACTACTTGTTCCTTTGCAGCCTACGCATGCTGACGCAGCTACCCACCTGAACTACTACAGTATATCTTTGGATTTGGTTTGCAAAACGCATGACTAATGTTTGTGTTTTGTCCTGGAAGACGTGGGCTAAATTCTCCTAACAGACAAGTCTGATGGGATATACTGTGAAGATGAAATCTTGATATTGCGATGATGGATGAATCTCAAATGCGAGATGTGGCTATGTTTGTTAATAAGAATTAGTACGTGGCAGCATGCTCTTTTGCACAGAATAAAAGAAGGGAAAATTGTATTACTCTTACTAATTTACTGGGCTGACACATTCATCCAAAGCAGCTTGCATTTCTACAGTTGGGTATTTTATAATCTGTAACAATTAGAGTGAAGTGCCTTGTTTAAAGATACAACAGAAGTGTATCACCTGGGGTTCAAACTCCAGAGCTCAAAACATTGTGCCCCATTACTCCTCTAGGGTAAATGGCTACCCTAATTTTTGATCTCCTGTTTTGGGGTTAGTGTGTGCTATAGTATGCTAGAGAGATGGTACGAGAATAACTCCAACATTTACTTTTCAACCAGACATGAATCCTCTAGATCTGACTAGATTTTAACCTCCCAGGCACTTTTTGATACACAATGCAGAAATATTACATATCAGATTACCACAACAACTTGTGTAGATCTGTTTTAATTTAAATGTTTGTAAAACCTCTCCTGGCCCCCTGAGTCTTTAATACTGCAGTACTACTGGGTGAGACATTTTGAATGCAGTTTCAAGCCATATTGGTGGGAATGTCTTTATTTTCACTATGCCTCTGTCATCAACCCCACACTTTATGGGATACACTGGAGAGCTTTATAAAGATAATTCTGCTGTGTTCACCCTGCAATTGCATAAGGCAAGCCTTCTATGCATGCCATTTCTCCCAGATACTGTATGGAATCCAATTTTTTCCCCACATGTAATTTTGATCCCTCTTTGTAAATATAACATAGCAGGCCTTTGAAGACTTTTGACTATGCAGTTACCATTTTCTAGTAAGCTATACTCCTTTTTTAGTACCATTGATGTGTTTTTAATCATCATTTATCCTTTTTGTATTTCCCACATTGGGAATCACCAGCTGTTGATCAGTGCACCAGCATGGGATGGATAACGGCAATGCACGCTTTCCTCCAGCTTGTCCACCGTCAGAGGCATTTGCTAGTTTTAACACAGCAAGAGCTAACAGTCAGTATCCCAGTGAGCGATGCAGCTTTCACTGAAAAATCTGCTGGCAGACTAGTCGTACCACATTCAGGCCAGGTTAAGGCCTTCCAGTTACACTGCTCTCAGCTCATCATACCCTGCCACCTGTCACACAGCTTGCTCATTTTATGAACAATTACTAACATACTGTAGAAATACATTACTAACCACTTTATCTGTCACATCAAGCAGCAGTGCAAGGCAAGATACACCTTGGATGGGATGCCAGTCCATTGCAGGGCAGACACAGGCACAAAGGTGCACACACTCACTTTTCCCAGGAGCCAATTAACCTACAGTCCTAGGATGTCTTTGGACTGTGAACAAGTGGGGGAAACCAACACAAACACAGGGAGAAAATACAACCTCCATCCAGATAGCACCCCAAGACTGGAACTGAACCCAAGGCTCCAGCACTGCAAGGTAGCCCAGTTAACCACTGCGCCCCCATACTCACATACATGTGGGAGGACATTATATTCATCACAAATTGTTCAATACCACATTGGGATGGAAATACAGGGCTATTTAAAGTAGTCTTTAATATAATCAATAACCTCTGTTTATGTAAAAGCTAAAGAGCAAAACTCTGCTAATTACATACAATTGTATGTATATCTCATGGTGAAAGATTCATATAAAATAAATAGTTAAGATGATATGTACTTGTTAAAACCATGACCCCAGGATATGATTTAAAAATGACATATCCCATATTTTTAATTGAGACCTTTTCTGTTGCTAGATTTATTAGTTAGCCTAAACAGTGTCTGTTTAGGACTATGGCATTAGCTTCTGGACTGTAGAACAATAACTGTAAACTAGGTATGTGGAATAGGGTTCAAATTTTAAAATGCTCTTTTTTCTCTTTGCTCTAATGCTCTTAAAACTATTAAATGAAAATGTCCCTGTAACACAGCTATTTCATATTGATAAGACTTTGTGCATCACATAAAAATTCAAAGAATCTCCAAAAAAACAATACCCATGGTGATAACAATCCTCAGTGGAATCTAGTATTCTATATGTTGTTCTTACAACAAGAAATAATACATTAATAATAATAAATTAAAACACATTCTCATAAGACATTAACAAGATAAGTTCCATACAACTAGCATGACATATCATAGCTTAAGTAGCCTTACAAAGAACGCATTGTAGCTTTATTAAAAATAGAGATAACAATTTCATCATGCATCTCATATTGACTATTCTCTAATTTATCAAAAAATAAGAAATCATTCTTTAATATTGTGTAGAAGTGGAATTCTAATTAAAATTTGGATAATCGTTTTTTTATTGTAAAGGCTACATACAACTATAAACTGCTTTCCCTTAGAAGTATGTTTTAAAAGCAATAATTATTTGTTTTTTAAAAGCCAAAATGAAAAATGCTTATTGTAGCAATTAACATTAAATTCTAGAAGTAGCTAATTTAAGAATCTAAAATTAATTAATTTCAGTTAAAGTCTTAGTGTAACAGAAAATTGAAGTTTCTCATGAAGCATTTAGTAAAAAATAAGTCGTATTATTTATTGATCACTGCACTCCTTACACATTTCAGAACAAATATTAACCTTGCTTGTACAGTCTGAAGATATATAAATAAAACAACAACAGCAAAAACAATAATAACAAGAATAATAATGTAGCTTAGACATTCCTTCACTTGATTCTCAAGGAATGGAACAATAACTCACCCCTGATCCCATGTAAAGTTTGGCCTCCAAGCTCTGTCTGCTTCTGGAACCCACAATGTCCTTAAAGGTGTAATGATCTTCCAGATTCCCTATCTGGATCACAAAGAATCATAACATAGAATGGATTTAGATCTTTGTCTTTGTTTTCTAAGGCTGAAACACTGAAGACTATTTTAAAACTGATAAAAATTCCATGCAGTACAAAAATAAAGAAAGGTATATCAAGCTGAGAGATTTAATCAAATTCTATTAAACACAGGTATCACATAAAATCAAAGAAAATATGATAAAAAATACAGATGAAAGAATCATGGCTGTTCACAATTAAAAATGATACATTATAAGCAAGAAAATGTTACAATTTCAACAGTGTTTATGCGTAGGCCTGATCAGCCAGATCAACGCTACCTGATGTTGATGTCAGAAAATAAGGCCCACAGATGTTCTGATGCACTACTGTCCACGGCAAGACCTTAACATTGTTTTCTTTAAATCATATCCTCCGGCTGTTTGGTAGTGCTGGGCAATCATCACTTTTGGGTGGGGTTCCAGAAATGGAAAAGCTATTGGAATGGAAAAGCTTCCCCACTGTATAACTGAGTCTCTAGCCATCCAGCCTTTATCATCACACATCCACTGCCCAACCAGCTGGTTCCAGTAAGTCACCAATGGCATCTCTATACCAGGTCTTATGTCAAGTCTGTTTAGGGCAAAACAGCACTCACTGGTAAATGACACCCCATATCTCTCGATCTTCTTGTTCCACAGAAGATGCCGATCTAAAGACCATCCTATGCAGATCAACTTCATGCTGACTGCAAGCTCCTGTCATTCTGCTGATTTGTGGGCAATTTCCTCCTGGAATTTCTTCCTCTTTTCTCTGGACCCGTCTGCTGAATGTTGAAGCAACCTATTTTTTGCTGTTCTTTCACCAGGTATTTTTAATGGCTATTTTTACTAATTAATATACCCTATAAAGCTAATCAATTTTTGTCATTTTAACAAATCAAATGACTATCACTGAGCACCTGGCATTGTTATGAAATCAGATTGCTTGCCAACAGTATAATAATATTCAGTCAACACCACCTACCCATCCATTTTCTAAACGAGTTTATCTAATTCAGAGTCATGGGGGGGCCAGAGGCGAACCCAGTGAGCCACGTGCATAAGGCAGGACACACACTGGATGGGATGCCAGTCCATTACAGGGCACACAGACACAAACACACACACTCACACCAAGGCCAATTTTTCCTGGAAGCCAAGTAATTTTTTTCAGGATCCAGAGCCCTGGAGGAAATCCATTCGAACACAGGCCAAACATACAAACTCCACGCAGACAGCACCCCAGGAATTGAAACTGGGGTCTCACTGTGCCACTATGCTGCCCTCTGCTCACTAGTTGAAAAGGAAATAACGTACTGTACAGTATATGGACCCAATGAGCTGCTGATGGTTGTGTGGTTACTATCCACTAGTAACATTTTGACGAGCTCAGTTTCAACTCTGTCAAGTATGGCTGGCATAGTTCGAGGTTTTACTCGAAAAGTATTTTCATTGCCACTCAACAACCAGGCAAAAACAGAACACACTGTACAGCACAACCAAAACATTCATCTTTGAAGTGTTTAGACATATCCAGTGTAGTTCTGAATACAGTGTAGCTCTGAATATAAGTTACTTTCTAAAATACTTTCTGTAAGAAGACATACAGTACACTTAAAATGGTACAAGAAATACAGAATAAATGAGATAAGTGTTTTCCTTCCTCTTCCTAAACCACTTAAATGGTTTCTGCAAAAGCAAATATCATAACTGCAGAAGCAAATGTTAGGTGCACCAGTGCTATGCATGTCTCATCAGTCATTACATAGTCCTATCAATGGCTAAAGGACAAGGATGCCTGGATTAATCAGGAATGTTAGCGGTTCAGAATGAAAATGCTAAAGCAAACACAAAGGAAATATTTGACAAATTAATACACAGTTGTATGTAATTCCAGATTCCAATTTACTCGCTTTTGTTGTGCAACTCTTTCAAAATGAATCCAGCTCTGCTCATGGCCTGGACTGCCACTTCAATCTCTGTGATTACTAGCTCGCTATTCTAGCTTTAGAATGGAGGCTTCTTTATACACTGATGTTTTTGAATTAATCATTATTACAGATAAGATAGATAGATAAGATAGATAAGACTTTATTGATCCCGAAGCGAAACTGATGAATAAAAATAAGTGACATTACATTTGACTTATAAGTTTAACAGGCATTTTGTAACTTTGGATCTATTTATAATATAATTATATAATACTGTATATCAGTGGACCACATCGTATACTATAAAATCAATTTTTGTGTATATATTTTTGATTAAGCATTAAATATAGTATGACATTTGCTGTTCTATTAAAACACTTGATTGTAATTATTAATGCAATATTTAGGAGGCATACTAAAACTGATTCAATGACTCAAATTTTCTTTCTTTATGACTTGTGAAAAAAAAATAGAAGACACAGCTTCAATCAAAGCTGCTGTGGCCAAAACATTGTTGCTTTGTGTTAAAAACTGAGCGTACGGCAGTTCATCCATTTCTTTGAAGCCTTGAAAATTTTATGAATTTATTTCAAAGACAACACTAATTGTTCTACATATAATTAATGAGTATAAGTGTAATACTTAAACTTATCAAAGGGAAAAATAGAAAAAAAACTCACTATAAGGTAGTAAAATGAAAGTACAGGTGTCATTTCAGTTCAGTTATGTGAGCAAACAAACAAGAAAAACAGGGAAAAATATGAATAACTGACTTGAATTAGTTGTCCCTAATATGATGCTCAGTTACCTTTGAAGCTCAATATGTAAGTAAGGCTTCTTCAAGACCTAAAAAATGCTTCCTTTACTATGTTTAAAAACCGGCAAACAGCAGGGTACCTGCTGCATGTAGATTACTGAAGATGTATGAGAGAGCACCATGACATAAATTCACAGCTGAGTTATGAACTGTACATCTACATAAGAAGATTTTTTTTTATTAGAAAGTAAAGGCATAATCAAACATGAGGTGCAACAAAATGTGCAGCACTATAGTCTGCTTCACTGTATTTCTGTCATCTGGGTAGATTTTCCTGTTTTTCTGTCATTCTTAAATAAGTATTTTTAAGTACATATACAGTACAGTGCCATTCAAAACAATTAAGGCCCTTCCTATAATACCCCATGTTTTTTAAATGACAAAATTTTTATAGACATACACATTTCAAAACTTAATATTCTATTAAAATCCTGAATGCTCAAAGTAAAGGGTTAAGAAGGTTTTTGGTAAATGTCAGCAAAAACTAAAGAGAAAGAACTAAAATATGCTGGCAGCAACTACAGGACAGGTCTTTTTGAGTACATTTCTACCAAATTTACACACTGGCTTGGTGTACTTTTGCACATTCATCTTAATAGATTTGCTCATTCTCTTGCAAATTGCTGGATCAGCAGTTTTCAAGTCTTTTCACAGATTCTCAATAGGATTCAAGCCAGGACTTTCACTGGGCCACTCAAGACTCAAGGATTTTCATTTTCTTATTCTTAAACCATTCCAGTGTAGCTTTGGTCTGGTGTTTTGAGTCATTATCCTGCTGATCAGGGCTGGCCCTAGGTTTTTGGGGACCCTGGGCAAGATCTTGCAAAGTGGCCCCTTCAGATCACGATTTGCACATACACTACTATTACCAGCCCCCACACCAAACGTATTTGCTATTTAAATGAATGAATTATCTATCTAGAAATGTGTTATTAACCAACTTCATAGAACATATAAAAAATAACTTACTAAAAAGAACAAGAAACACATATTTTAGAAATATAACTTGTATTTTTAATTTTTTTACTTATAAATCATAATGTGAATCTGTTAAAATCTAGCAAAACACCTCAAGCAGTCTACGTGTCTAGCTAGAAAATGTAGAATGCCTATCGTTTGCTAGTTACATGGATCTGATGGACTCAAAACCAAATGAAATACAAATGCATTATTACAGTGACTTGAATTGGCATACCCCTTTTTTGAGAGCGCGTCTCCTGCTCTTCTATTCTGCACTTCCTTTTCTCAGTGCCCGATAGGTATGTCCTTCTTGAGGACAATGTGCGTTTACCAGTTGCAACTACATGATTTTAATTTTAAACATTTACAACATAGTCTGCATCGCACGTAAAGGTCCCTTGTAATGTTTCATTACATGTTAGATGTGATAAAAGATTAAGAAAATTGATCATCACAACATTTACTGCTTTCTGAAATTAAAGGAATGTCATTTGGTATAGCAGCAGCTGAAACTGCACTGACATTGTCTAACAGAGAAGATGAGAGTCATTTAATACATCGACAATGAAATAAAGTACTACGCTTACAGCCACAACTAATAACATTATCATTCGTAACTATCAAACCTTAAAAGCCTAGCAGAAAAAGAAAGGGCCACTGGAGGGAAGTTTTGGCTCACATTTCCACCTGCTGAGTAAAAACAATGTTGTGTTGCACATTGCAGGGGTGCCCTAGTGGCCTTGGGGACCTAGGCAGTCGCCTAGTAACACTAAAACAAGGGCCAGCCTTGCTGCTGATAGGTGAGTGTTTGTCCTAGTTTTAGGTCTGAAGCAGGTTTTCCTTCAACTTTTACCAGTAGTTTGCTCAGTCTAAATTATTTAGATTTGTGACAGTAAAGAGATTATCTTTATGAAATCATCACTATTTTTTTTCATATCTGTTATCTATTTACTTCCTTCTACTTTCTTCTTTTTGTTTTGTGTTTGAAGTGGGTTGTCTATATACAGTATTATGTATAACAAACATTAATTTCTTCTTTAAAGTGTCACAACTGTAATCTTTATAGCAACCAAATGTGACTGCGCGAGGGTCTCAATACTTTTACAAGGCACTGTAGTTTAGGACTTTCTATCTCTGTTTCATCCCAAAAAATCTATAACCACCAGCAAAATCACAACACAAAGTAGAAGGCTTCAAACTTCTGTCTTTGGGTAAAATTGCTGATTCTTGCAATAACCTCTCGGGTTCAAAACAGTGTAAAATATTAAAGAAAAAAG